AAACCTTACCTATCATACATTTACCGAATAAATATTAACTCTTCTTATTATAATTCAAGATATAACACATGTATCAAACCAGCCTTAACTGAATTATAATATGCAGAAAACACTATGTTAATCAATCAATCTGAGTTAACACTATACGAATCAAAAATCTAACAACTTCTTATTCAGGTAAACTCTTTCTTAAATTAACAACTATCAAAACTAATCATCCCGACCGAACAGATACACAGACTCCTAACTATTATCCACTCATACTTAACTCCTTCCACAAACGCTTAGTCTATATTTCAAACAGAATCAGAATCGTAATGCCAGAGTAGTGACTATTTGAAATGAATTCCAATTAAACATATATCATCCGCAAAAAACCAAATCACGAAAACATTGCACCTACCAGATAAATAGTAGTTATAAACTCAGTTAACACAAGTCCATCTCATATAAACTAATTTCATCTCCAACCTGTAGTAACAACGACATCAATTAAAATCAAAAGGAACCCACTAAGAGAACAAACATATATTCAAATACTACTATACAACTTCATATCACCAAAAACTATTTCTATTTCCGCATTCATATACATATAAATACCATTTTAATAATGCAAATATACATAAGATAACGCTTGATGATTTTTCTTCCCTTGAATAAGGAAGAATTCCGGAATGTAGTAGTTTATTGTTTTTAACACACCCGTTGAACAATCTACTCTTCTACTTTTAAGTTTAAAATTAATCTTTGAAATTAAAATTGGAAGTTTATTAATTTAGACATTTTAATTTAATCTTGAAATTGATTTTGAAATTATGTAGAATTATACTACCTGATGATTTTTCTTCCCTTGAATAAGGAAGAATTCCGGAATGTAGTAGTTTATTGTTTTTAACACACCCACCCACACCCACACCCACACCCACACCCACACCCACACCCACACCCAAATTTCAAAAGAATTATCATTAACTATACAAAATACTATTTCGTCTGGATACAACATTTATTTCAGTTTTTGTTCTTCAGACGAATTAATTTGTAAACAATTAATGACATATTTAAAGAATGAAGGTTATGCTATTTGTAGAAAATCTTCATCTTCATCTAGGGGTGGCACTTTAACTTTACTTTAAAAGTTAAAGTTAAAGTTTGAACTTTAACTTTAAGTTTAAAGTTAAAGTATATTCACTTTAACACTTTACTTTAAAAATTAAAGTTAAAGTTGATATTCAAAAAAATTATTTTTGACTGCCATCATATTTAGCTAGGGATGTAACAATACCAATACTACCAATACCAATGGTATTGGAGTGGTATTGGTACTGGTAGGTATTGGCTCTTATCTTCCGGGCAGAACATAATGTTTGTCGAGGCATATGAAAGACCACTTCTCATAACCCTATAAACGGCCCGACTAACACCATGTTTTGTCCCAAGAATAAAAGAAAAAAAGCCGGCTGAAAGCTGATTGGTTGATATATTAACCAAGATTTAATCGAGATATTTTTGTCTTATTCTTGGGACAAAGCATGGTGTTAGTCGGGCCGATTATAGGGTTATGAGAAGTGGTCTTTCATATGCCTCGACAAACATTATGTTCTGCCCGAAAAATAAGAGCAAACACCACTTCTAAACTCTGATTGGTTCATAGATTAACCAATCAGCTTTCAGCAGGCTTTTTTTCTTTTATTCTTGGGACAAAACATGGTGTTAGTCGGGCCGATTATAGGGTTATGAGGGGTCGTCTTTCATATGCCCCAACGAGCATTATGTTCTGTCCGAAAAATAAGAGCCAATACCTACCAGTACCAATACCACTCCAATACCATTGGTATTGGTAGTACTGGTATTGTTACATCCCTAGATGATAGTATTCGCTCTTAGATAATGTTTATCAAATATATTGAGTTGTCCTTTGACAAATTCAAAATAGTACTGTTTTATTTTCATTTCTTCTGACTTTGTAGTATATTTTAGCAAAAAATAAACTTTTTAGTGCAATCACGCGCATCATATTGAGTGACTAAATGATGGCAGTCAAAAATAATTTTATTGAATATCAACTTTAACTTTAATTTTTAAAGTAAAGTGTTAAAGTGAAAATACTTTAACTTTAAACTTAAAGTTAAAGTATTTTACTTTAACTTTAAATCTTAAAGTTAAAGTTCAACTTTAAACTTTAAGCACTTTGTTAAAGTAAAGTTAAAGTTAAAGTGACACCCCTATCTTCATCTTCATCTTCATCGAATATTGAGAAATCGGATGTAATTCTTATTGGTTTTTCTGAAGATTATTCAAAAGATTCTCAATGTATAAATGATGTTAATCAAGCAAAATCACTTGGAAAGATTCTAATTCCATTTGTAATTCGAAAGAATGAATGGGTTTCTTCGATTACAATTGCAACATTATTCTATGATTTATTCGATCGAGAAATCGATTGTGAATTTATCGATGATTTTGATTTCGAATATGATCAATTATTATCGATTCTCGTAAGTCACTTTATCAGTCGATCAATTAAAAAACAATTTCATTTGTATTTCATAGTTACGTTATACGAAACCTGGTGCTATTGGTCGACCATTTTCTCTTCCAAGAATTAAAAGAAAAGAAGAAGAAGAGAAAGAACCAAAAGATTATCAAGAGATTATCTTTGGTAACAAATCTGTTGCTTTGCAGAAAATTCAACCGAAAGAAATTGAAAGATTACAAAAAATTTATCAACAAGAATTAAAGAAAAAAATTATTCTCAACAAAATTCCAACGGATGAAATCGATGGATTAGTTGCTAGTTTAACTAAAGTTGTTGATGATCTAAAGAAAACACTAAAAGGCGAAGATAATCAATTACACACACAACGAACTTGGATATTCGGTAAATTCTTCTCTAATTTATTCTGTTAAACATCTTAATTTCTAGATGAAAATTGTCAAGGTGCTATCTATGAATTTATGTCTTGTATCAGACGTTGGTTAAAAAAAGCACCAAATGTAACAAAGAAACAATTTGCACCATTTACACCTACTGGAGATGTAAACGATGCAATATTTTCTATCGATCAATCAGTTGAGAGTGAAAAATATAAAAAAACTTATGAATTATTTAATTGTTTAATAACAGAAGATCTTATTGCTCGATCCATTTCTGATTTAGGTTCATCGAATAATGAAGAACAAGCGAATGAATATTTTATGAATTGGGTAAGAAAAACAAAACCAATTAATGAAATCGAAACAGAAATAAAAGAAAAAGAAATTGTATGGCATTACAAAGATCCTGATCAAGCAGATGAGAAAATGTATATTTGGAAATGAACTTAAATCAACAGAAGAAATACAAAAAATTGAAGAACGTGATAATCCATATCGTATTTGGAAAAAGACTCGAGGTGCAAAAATATTTATTGAACAAAAAATAAAAAATATTCTCGAATTTCAACAATTATGTCAACAATCGAAATGATCTTTTTTTCTTTTTTTTGTTGTAGATAAACACATATTTGTTTCTCATGGATATTATATTAAAACAACATTCTATTTTTATTCGTCGTCTTCATCACAAACATTCGAATATTACTGTAAGTGAAATTGAAGATCATCTCGATGAAATATTTCAATTTTTAAAAACAATTTCATATGGACCAACTCAAACAGATGGATTAAATTTGTTAACTATTCTATGTGATGATCTAGCAAATATATATACTTTACAATTATTTAATATCCAATTATCATCAATCATCCAATATTTGTCTATATGAGTCAAACATTTGAAATGTTATTAACAAAATCAAATCATTCTCAAACTATACCGATGAAGAAACACGACGAAGATGCATTCTATTCTATTAGTTATTTGATTACACAATTATGTTTATATAAAAATCAATATATTCCAGTATTTTATGGTCGATTTTCAGATGTAATCTTTCCCGTTACTGAAAAACCTAATAGAAGAGATGAAACGATCGAAAAACCAAAAGAAAAATTCTTAACAGAAAAAGCAAATTTTAAAACAGCTCGTTTACATCCGACTGCACCAAAATCACGACCAAACGAATCACATATACTCAATTTTGAAATCATACCATCACCAAAACAATATCATCAAAATCAATTGATAACATTTGCAAAAGAATCAATATCAAAACCTTGTTTAAAAACTCGAATACCTTCAAAAGATTTACCTATGAAAACAACATATCGAAAAGTCTTCTTAACAAAATCATTCTTTAAGAAACTTCAATATGGAATTGAGAATCTTTCTCAAAATGAATATTCATCATATGATATAAAATATAAAGTTATTCATCGATTAGTTCGTCTCTGTTCGAAAATGAATCTTATTGAATCGATTTCTGAGTCAATTCGAAAATGTTTATGTTCAAATTTATATTCTCAAATATTTACAACAATCGAATCAACACAAATTCGTTTTGCTCCCAAACAATTATTTTTCATTTATGAATGTTCACAATTTATCATTCGTCATGATTTTACCGAACAAGATAAATTCATTATAATTCTATGCCCAATAATGATCTCAAAAACGAAATTAATCATTGAACAAGTTCTTAATTCAGGTTACCCTAACTTTCATTGACACATATATATCTTTGTTTCTATTTTTAGACAATTCTCCATCTCATGATGATAAAGGTCTTGCTCGACAAGCATTAAGTTATCATCTTGAATTACTTAATTATCTATCATTGACATCGATAGGTCGACAAGAATTTCTTCAAAGTTCGATATCTAAAATTGCAATTGATATTTTAAATACCGAAACATTATTAACAATTGCATGCAATAATGAAGAATTCTTTCATGCAAATATTCGAATTATTCTTTATACTCTTCTTTTATTATGTAATTTAGCTTATGAAAAAACAATATTCAAATTATTAAAAAATTCAAATTTAAAGTATATAAAAACATTAAATGAAGCTAAAGGTTCTGCTATTCAATTTGCTTCTAATGCATTATCAATGATTTTAAATGAAGAAAATATTGATGAAGAATATGAACCAAAGAAATTAAAACAAGCTTATTTTAAACATATTCAAGATAATCCACCAGAACCTAAACATGTCAATATAACTGATGGAGAAACTTACAATAGTAAGTGAAATTCATTAGTCAAAAAATAATTGAATGTTATTTTGTTTTTAGATGAAAATTTACATGTAAAATATACTGTTCTAACACAAAAAGTTTTAGATAAATTAATTGATGATATAAAACATATCTTAGAAAATTCAGATGATTTAAATGATAATGATTATAAACGTGTATCTCAACGATTAAGAGCATGTATTAAACAGAATACATCACAAGTTGAATGTCTTCTACAACCAGTTATTAATTGTTTAATGTCACAATTTTATATGAATGTTTTTCAAAATATTGAATTATATAAAGGAAAATTACCATCAAGTGTCATCAGTATCAATCGTCCACTTGCATTTAAATGTTTATTTTTTATGCGTGATTGTCCGGAATTTCTTATTGAACATCATTATCTAGAAAATAATGATGAAGATAAAGTATTGATGAAAATGATGTTAAATAATACTAAAATAATATTTGAACAACATTTATCTGTTATTACTGATGAAATAGAAATTCATCGACCACGTCGTTTATCAATTAATGGAAAAGCAGAAGGAAGAATCGAAGCATTAAGTTATCATATAAAATTATTAAATCATTTTGCTATGCAAAGATCTTTTAGAGAAGAATTTAATAATCAATCAATTGTTGAAAATCTTATCGATGTTTTACAAAATAATATTTTACTCGTTCAAATTGAACATTTAAATATAAAAACAAATGAATTTATTAGACAATCATTATATCTATTAAATAATCTTATACTTGTTAAACAAATTATGGAATTAATGAAAAAGAAAAATGTTATTTTAACTTGTTTAAAATTATCTTTTATTAATGATAAAATAATTCAATTTATTTCACAACTTATTTTTATTTCATTAGATAAAAATTCTTCAGAGAATTTACGAGATATACCATTATTATCTAAAACATATATTGAATATATTAGAAAATCAACAAAAGTACCAAAATTATCTTATCATTCTGTTAAATTAAGTTGTTTAATACGAAATTTAAATATAAGTATGTCAAAAAATTATTTTGTTAAATTAAAATATTTTAATTTTAGTTATTTTACAAAATGAATTATTTCGAGATGCTTTTGTTGAAGAGAAAAATAGTATTTCAACAATTGCTAATTGTGTTTGTGCTTATCAAGAAGAAGATGAAAATTCTCGATTAAGACGAAATAAATCTTTATGGATTACCGATAAAATGAAACCAGATGCTGAAGTTTTAGAAAAAATTTAATATTTAGCAGTTGATATTGTATGGAAATTAACTGTATATGGACCAATTGTTATAAAAACATTGAAATCTAATGATACATTTATTGATCAAATTTTAAAAGTTAATAAAAAATTAGAAAATAAAGGAAAAGAAAATAATGCTCTAAATATCATATGGAGATTTGGTAATGAAAAAATGATTCGTCATGAACAGAAGAAAAAACAAGAAGAAAAAGAACGTTCAACTAATGATCCATTGATGACTATTGAGCAATGGAATGATTCTGTTCCTTTTGATTTATTGATGTGTTATAGTAATAATGTTAATGATACAATAATGAGTTTAAAAATAGCAGATCGTTTAACAAAGAAAAATTATCGAGTTTATATTGAAAAACAAAGTCAACATCGATTAGAATTAATGGAAATAGGTGCATCAAAACAAGTACCAATTCTTGCTTGTTTATCATCAACATTTCGTATTTCACAATTTTGTATGGCAGAAGTTGATTATGCAAAAAAATCTAAATGTCCAATTATTCCAATAATTGTTGAAGAAAATTATACAATTAAAGGATGGTTAAATCATATTATTGATAATCAAACACCAATTAAACTTCATAATAAAACTTTTAATAAATCATTTATGTTTTTACTTCAAGAAATTCATCAAATAATACATTCAGATGAAAGAGAATAAATTAAATCTTTTCTTTTCTTTTCTTTTAGATATACATTGAAATGACTTCTTCTATTCCAACGAAATCATCGATAACAAATGATTTTTATTATGCTTGTCGAAATGGATTAATAGATATTGTTCAACAAGAATTACCAAATATGAGTTTAGAAGAGATTGATCAAGTTCAAGCTAATGGTTCAACGGCACTTCATGCCGCATCTTATAATGGTCATACAGAAATTGTTAAATTATTATTAGAGAAAGGTGCATGTCGTTCAATACCTAATACATATAAATGTTTACCGTTTGATGAAGCAAAAAGTACTGAAATAAAAGAATTATTTCTTCGTCGATCGAATCGTTTTACTGATGAAGAATCAGGTCATATTGATTGGATGAAATGTGATGCAGCTGCTGAACAATTAGCAAAAGATTATCGATATCGACACAGTGGTTTAGGATGGACATCGAAAAATATTGAACATCGTTTAAAATATATTAAAGATGAAATGTCACATACAGAACAAGAACGTATTAGTACTTTTCTTAATCAAGTTCAACATGATCCTGAATCTCTTCTTCGAGCTTATACTGTTGAATCAAGTTTTTATATTAAATTAAATAAAGATTTAGCAATGAAACATTTTGAACAAGGAACTAATTTTGGATTAACATATTTTATTGATTTTTTCTACAATCATCCTGCATTTCAATCTTTATCGTATATTGGTAATGTTTATCGTGGTATGACTGTTACTCATGATGATCTAAAAGAATATAAAGTAGGAAATAAAATAATGAATAAAGCATTTATGTCAACAACAATTGAACGTCAAGTAGCTGAAGATTTTGCAAGAAAAGAGGCTAATCATCGAAAAACGAAAAATGGTGATCTTGTCAAATTATCGGTTCTATGTTCATTTCAAATTGTTAATCATCGTACTGGATTAAATATTGAAAATATTTCAAAATATCGACATGAAAAAGAAATTTTAATCGGTCCATATACTGCATTTTCAATCACAGCTGTACGTCAAATTGCTCATAACTATGCAGAAATTGATTTACGTGAATGTCAAATTGTACATCAAGATGAAAATCATCATAATGTTGATGATGATGACTTTGATTAAACAATAATTGTTTCAACAAAATAAATGATAAAATATTGAGAATAAGGTTAATATTCTTTTTTTCTTCAGAAAACTAATCTGTAATTGTATAGAAGGTTTATTTTTAACTCATGTATCGAGTCAGCACTTCACACTGTCCTATTTGCTTACTCACACCCCTACTCACTCTTCGTATAGAAATGTGTAATATCGTAGAATAGGAAGTGTTGTCGTGCGTTGATTCTATTCAATTTTCATTGTTACATCTTTGCTCTTATATCCTCAAGATTTGAAGCAAAAACACTTTCAGTCTACGATGAGAAGTGTAGTGTAAATATGAGTGATTCTGTTCTTTTTTTCTTCGCTTTAGAAAAAGGCAAATGCCATCTAACAGTCAACTATTATCTAAGCAGTCTAATCAAAACATACGAAGACATTTCTTATCTCTAAATATTCTAAATGAATTCTCAATTGTATGGCTTGGCGATTATTCTGGTTATGTCCGATAATTATATGCTTAACTTACCTGAAATAAAAGTAATTTATATGATTGTGGACGGTACACAACCTGATTGTTTTGTGTGCATTTTTGATGATAGCAGAGTAGAGTACATATTTAATGATGGACTAATTATTCTTAAAAACTTAAGGCATATAACAGAAACAAATTACCGAATAACTCTGATGTAAACCAGTAAAACGTTCGTCACACCGCAGAGGTAACAGTCATGACTCCAACGGGTTTTGTAACGCAGGGTTGGCAACATGCGACAATACATTTACATTCTACACCTGGAGAAATAATTCGTCACATGGTCTTACATTACCGTCCACCAGGAGCCTAACTCGTTTCGCCGCCTATGAGTAGTGACATGGTCTTCTACCGTTGCTATGAATATCAAGTTTTTGTTTTAGTTTTTCTGATTTTATGACCCAAAATAGAACCTCGAGAATTTCAAAAGATCTTTTTCTAATAGCACTATATTTTTTATCATAGAAAAGCTCTTGAAATAAAAATGATAATTAACATTTAGTTTATGTCCGGATGAAAAATTGAAGCCGGTATTACGCGACAGTTATTGTTTCCGGAGTTTTTCATGCACGACTCCACAGCAATTTATGAAACTTTCAGGGCACCCAGATCTCGATGAGTCATGCAAAAGTTGTCATAGACTCCAAATTATCGGATGTCTTCTACTAAGACTTTTGTAGTACCCTTGGATCAAAACCTGCTTAAACTTTCTTCCATTCTCTTCCAAATGGGATGTGTTTTCTTTTGAAAATTATTGTTTTCCGAGGATCTGAATTTCGTGCGAACTCCTAAATCTTTTAGAAACGAGATTTCGAGTAATAAAAATAAATGCACATCCCAATTTGACTGATATACTCGTAAAAAATTTTTCAATCCGATCGGTGAAGCCACTTTGGAGATAAATTTCTTTTCTGTGGTTCAAAAACCGATTCTGAGAAAACATACATCTTTTTCGGCTACCATACGGCTTGATAGAGTACGTCATGATGCATCGTTAGAAATAAAAATCGAAGAATCAAAAAAAAAAACATTTTTTTTTGTTAGATAAAGGTAATCCTCTTGAGTGAGTTACAACCACTGTAATCGCGCAATCGTCGATCGAATACGAATTTATATTTTATAAATGAAGCGTGACGAGAGAATAGGTAGTAAAAGGATGGCCTCTCATTTTTCATCTTGACGTGTTCTTTTTTCGATTCATTTGCAAAGAAGCGGCTTTGTATAACGTTTATATTATTGTGCTTATTGCAACATTATACACAAGTGGATATATAGTGAATAAAAATGTCGTCGTCATCGGAATATAAGAAAGTATGTGAAGACTTTTTTGCAGCTCTCACTGCACGCAATTTTACTGAAGCATTATCATTTATCGATCCCAATTGCGAAGCGACTTATATGGGACAAGTTATCAGCCGAACAAGAGATGAATTAAAGGCATTTTGTGAAAAGGAATATGCAGATCCAAATATTTCTTTTCATATTGTCAAGTATTTACCAAGTGATCAAGACGACTGTATACATCTGATTGCAAACGAAAATGGGCAAGACAACGATGAAATTTACACATTTTCAAAAAAAGGGAAGATCACTAAAATAGTGACGAAGGTTCTTCCCAAACAATAAAATAATTATCGACGAAAACATAAACTTAACAATATAACTCATTTATTAAGTATTTAACAATGTATTTATTTTTCTATATTAACCATAAATAGAAATAAAATATTACAGTTTTTGCTAAGCTAACATTCAATAAATATTTTTTATTTCAATTTAAAATCTTCTACAGAATTAAGAACAACGAATACAAAGTCGGGTGTCTCAAGAAAGTTGCTCTTTCTATTTTAAAAGAAATTTATAATCTTTTTCTATTGTAGTAGAATCTATTTATATAAATGTACATTTAAAGATAAGAGTATTGTCACAAAAAACAGTTTTATTGTTGAAAGAATCATATGACGACTTTCAGAGAAACTCTACATATAATAAATTGTGTTTATCAATACGTAAAAGGACATAGTAAAACTATTAGAATACTTTTACAAGAAAACAAATATGAAACGAACGATTATGATTCAATTAATTCTTTTAATTGAATATCTTGAAGGTGTGGATGTGCGTGTACATTCTACTTCGTTCACACCCACACCCTCAAGATGCTTTAATTCTGACTTAATCAGTATCTGTTCGAACTAAATCTCTACGAACGTTTTAATTGTAGAAATGATAGTATAGACTATATTTATCATTTTCAGCACATCGTAGTATAACTATTAGAAAATCCTCGAAAACAATGCGTGGCATGTGCAAATACAAAAAACAGCAGAAAAGATAGCTGTTTTCCAATACGAATGCACTGAATTTCACGTCGGGCTTTGCATTTCTGATAGTTTTCGAGATTGTTATATTTTGAAATACTTCTAGATGTTTATTCACTTGTTTTCGAATAAATACATCATTTACTGTTCTAGCCCATGTCATACAAACCGCTTTAAAACCGTCAGTTAACCGCAGTTTACCGTCCGCTTGAACGCCCATTTGACCGTTCCGGTTATCGCAGTTAACCGCGGTTAACCGCCGTTAACTGCATTCCACTGTCGATTTTCTTTATGCTCTTACTGATGTGTTAGGATCGAATGTAGTTTACAGTAAAAGTTTCAATTCACATCTAGTTTTCAGTTAGACTTTATTTAAATCTCATCAAAATCAATTTCTAGCACAACAATAAAAGAGCATTTTAAATCATTGAAGTATAAAAAATCACTTATCATTATTTAACATTACACATGTTCAACAAAATCAACTTGTAATGAGACAAACAAAAAAGACGCGTACATTATGTTTTCACACAGGAAGAATGCGTCTACAAAAACACGAGTTACAACATAAAATAACATTAATCAAGTACATATTCTACTATTCTAATTACGACTGTATGATAAAAACATTTAATAAAGAAGTATTACATATTATAACAATAATCATGTAATATGTAAGAAATAAATGTTTTTAATAAAGTAAAAATACTTAAAACAAGAAAATAGAAGTAAAAAAGGTATTTAACAAGAAGCTTTTTAATTTGCAAATGAACCAATAAATTCATCAAAATCGTCGTGTAGTGCTACTTGTGGTGCAGGTTGCACTGTTACATTACCAGTACTACTTTTTTTTCCTTCAATTCATTGCGTCTCTTTTGAAAAATACATTCATGCAAGGTTGTCCATTCAGACCGTAACATTTCATGATTCAGCTTGACTCTTGATCGAACTGCTTCTAAATAGAACCATATTTAAGAAGTGACTATGATAAAAACTGATTTTTGTTTTACCTTTAATAATTAAGTATCGTTCATCCTTTACCAATTCATCTTTAGTAATGGTCGTTATTTCTTCGAACGTAAATAACTTATCCATTACAAGTGCAACATAATGACCCATATGAGTTTGAGCACCATATAACTGAAGTAGATCTACAGATACGCCTTCTGAATTGACATAAATCTAAAAAAAAATAACAGCAAAAAGTTCATAAGCAGAACCTGCTAAATATAACTCACTAATGTAGATTTAGATGGTGAATCGTCAACGATTATATTTTCATCACCAAATTGATCACCATTTAATGCGACATTGATCTTGAAAATACAAATTTGTTATTTAAAACGAAAAATATTGATACAATTGATATTTACCTTTTTCTTTGATAACTCGACGAGAATAAAACGATTTATGATACATGAATGGAATATTGATATCTAAAAATAAAATTAATTGTGCAACAAATTTCAAGACAAATTAACAAATAAAAATGGAAACCATATACATAGATATTATAAACATAAAAAGTTATCTTCAACAATCGATTCATTCATTATGTTGTTTATCTAATGAACAAGTCTTGAACAATTTCAATCAATCCAATGAGAAAGAAAAAAGCGACATCTTAGTATAGCTTTAAAAGATGAGTTTTGTTTTTGTTTCTCTAAATCTTGATAAAACAAATAGAACAAGAGAATTCTAATCATATTGATGATTATTTCTAATTTTTTTTATATCACTACATATAGTTTGTTTGTTTTTGTTTATCGTTTCATCGTTAAAATCCGCTAGTCAAAACCGATCGCTAACCGCGGTTAACCGTCGGTCCTAGCTTCAACCATCGGTCACCGCTGGTTCTTAGCACGACCGACGGTTACCGACGGTTTTATGAAAAAAAGAGCGACATGGGAGAAAATTCAATTTCTTCTGCTATAGTCATCCCGTTCCCAAGGGGTTAAAAATGGATTTACGCAAGTTCGTCGAATAACAATTGGAAAAATTGAAAAACCAAAAGATATTTACTTCCAATTTTATGATCTGTACCGTTCAATCAACAATTACAGTAAACAGACGCTATTATTGTGCAGTGCTTGGTGCAAAAGAACTTTTTGTTACTATCATTTAATTGAAATAGAAATAAAATCAAAACTATTGATAAATGATAGTTGATCACTGTCTGTATCTTGAGGGTGTGGGTGTAAGATTCATCTGGTCAAGCACACCAACATCCACCTACACACACCCACCCTCATTGAGAACCTACATGAAAACTTTTAATCACGTTTATATATCTGCGTTGTCATTTGTATTCATCTTCAATCAAACTGTGAAGATATTTCCTTTAAACAACCGATTTCAAATAATAGAATGTTTGAAATATTCGTCATCTACTTCGTTCATTTATTAAAGATGTCTTTAAGTGATATCTTTTGAAAGCATAAATTAATCCCTTATAGTGTCTATAATTTGTTTGATATTTTAACAAATAGATAAATTATTTTATTCCATTCATTCGGGAACTATTTTTTTATCAATTGCAGAAAGAAAAATCTTTGGAATGTTAAGAATATTTTCTTATCGACATTTCGGATTGCTTTATGCAGATATTAAAACAACGCGAATCTCTCTTCTAAGATCATATTATGATTTAATTAGTGAAATGAAAAAATTCAATGATAAGAAAGAATTCGAAAGTGCATTGAAATTATTTAATGAATGTGAAAAATCAAATAATGAAATGATGTCAGGTGCAGCTGTAAGTCAAGCACTAAAATCTTGTACAAATGTGAAAGATTTTCAATCCGATTTAATTCTTCATCAACGATATTCATCTATAATAGAAAAAAACAATTATTCGTTTTTACAGTAATTAACAATTAAATTGAATTAGATCTTACTGAATGAATATTTAGTGCAATTAGGAGATGTTAATCATGCTCAACAAGTTTTTGATAAATTAAAAACAAAGAAAACAGTTGGTATTTATGGAGCAATGATGAAAGATAATTAATTCAAAACTAAGGATATATTAAAAATAATATGAGAGAAAAAGTAATTGAAATTTTCTTTAAAATTTCAAATCCAGATGAAAAAAATATTTCATTATTATTTAATGCATCTGCTCAAATTGCAACTGAAGAAATATTGAATTTAGTAAAGAAAATTTTATATAATCTTCCATCTCATTATCAAAATGATGAATATATTTTAACAACTGCTTTCGATGTCTTTATTAAATCTAATGATTTATTAAATGCTCAAAGAATTTTTTCAAAGATTACACAAAATATAATCAGTTATGGAAATTTAATGAGTAAATATAATAAAAATAATCAACCAGAAAAAATATTCGAATTATATAAACAAATGAAAAGAAATAAAATTCAATTAAATCCATCAGTTTCTGTCTTATTAATCAAACGCATGTTCTATTATTGGAATATATTCAATATCGAAATCAATATTTGAAAAAATTCCCAAATCATATCTTAATAATAATATCTTTATAAATAATTCATTGATTGATATGTGGATAAGCGAATATATTTTATTTTGATATTAACAAATTTTTTGTTAAAATAGGGAAAATCAGGTTGTATTGAAAAAGAAATAAATATATTTGAATCATTAATTCAACCAGATACAATTGGATATACATCAATGAGTTAGTTTTAACTTTCGAGACTTTTGTTTTTATTTGTTGAATTAGTTAATTCTTATAGTTTAAATGGAATGGGATTTGAAGTCATTGAATTATTTAATTGCATGCCATCAAAATTAATTTTAGAAGAAACTTATGTTTGTGTTTTAAATGCATGTTCACATTCACGACTTGTTCAACAAGCAACAAATATTTTTTATAATATTATAAATAAAACAGAACAAATTTATACGACTATGGTTTGTTTATTCAATAAACATCTTTTATTTTCATTTCATAAATTTATTTTTTGAGGTCGATTGTTTAAGTCGTTGATTTCTTTTTGAAGAAGCTGAAAATATTATTAAAATTTATGAATCTAATCATTCACCATCTCCAGTAATGCTTAGTAAGTGTTTTTATTTATTTATAACGAAGAAATTAATTCATACTATAACTCATTATCGATTTTAACGGATTTTATTGAAATTCCATAACAATTTATATTGAATCTTGGATGAAGTAAACTTTCGCCACTTGATGTCATATATGAGTGAATTGCAACTTTTTGGTACAATTGGCGCGAAAAACTGAAAGTAGACCTAGACGATTTCTGATCAGTGCATTTTATTATACTCTATGCCTGTGCTACACAGCAAAAATTTCCCAACACTTAATCGCATATTAGCTGAGATACGACTGACTCAATGTAAATGTACCATAAAAAACGTTTTTTATTGAAAAGCGTCACTCTACATTTTTTTCAGTATAATGTAAATTTCTCTTGAACGGTACGAGATCAAAGGCTGAAATTTTTACCACTAATAGAACTTTTTGTTTTACAGATCCTCTAAAAATTTGAGCTAAATCTGACGACCCGTTGAAGAGTTATAAATGTGACAATATACAAAAATCGTCACTCTACATAATTTTCGAAAAAAACGTCACTCTACATTTTTCAGTATAATGTAAATTTCTCTTGAAGGGTACGAGATAACAGGTTGAAATTTTTACCACTAATAGAACTTTTTGTTTTATACCGGCTGTAAAAATTTGAGCTACATCTGACCACCCATTCACGAGTTATAAATCACACAAATCTCGAATCGTCACTCTACAAAGTGAGTAAACGTCTTTTTTTTTTGAAAGTTCGTTGTTTTTTTGTTTGAAACGAACTTGATACGAGAGAACCTTTTCGCATCAATTTGCTAGTTAAAGTGTTGGCTTTCTTTTTATATGATCCGTACAGTTCTAGCTCTATCATAGGCTGAGCTAGAATCATGTTTTCGTCACTCTACATAAAAACGAACAAGTGTCTGTTGAACAATATGAACGGTAGATCAACAAACCAATGAAAATTTAAATTAAAATGAGTTACATATTTCGATAGAGTGTCGAAAACTGTACAAAATAGATCAATTATCTCATTTTCCTCTTGTCTATTTATAATCGAAAAATTTCCTTTTCTTGGCATACATCATGAAAAAATGACATTTTTTCATCATGAATTTTTTATAGCTCAGCGACAATAAGAGCTAATGAGCTGAAATTTTGCACGGCAGTGGGGTGGTCAAAGTACTATAACATATAAAAAAATCGTTGAAATCGGCCGAGGCAAACAGAAGTTATTAGCGAAATACACCTGAAATCTAATTGTACTAAAAAGTTGCAATTCACTCATATATATATCAATTATGAACGATATAAATCTAATATAATTGAGTTTTTTATTCAACTATTTAATTGGTAGCCATACTGATAAACTATAAAATTTTCTTGTCTTAACTAGTATTGAAGTCATGTTTGTTATCAACAGTTTTTTACAAAATTTGAAAGAACGATTGTTGCTAAATGTAATTTCAGATATAACTATTTGATTTATATTGAATGAGAAAAGAAATTTTTTTTGAATAAGATTTATTCGATATAGTATAAGTAACGCTCATTGGTGGGTATGGATGTGGGTGGTGGTGAGGCTGTGCATAAGATACTGACTACCCATGCTCACACTCACACTTAATTTTATCTCCTAGTTTTTGTTTAATATAACCTCAGGTATTTTCATTAAGTAAGACGTCGGCCATTTTATCAGGTTGTTCTTCAGGTTTAATACGTTCATGACCAATCTCGTCTAATATCTCTAATACATGTATTAACAGTGAAAGTTAACTATTCCGAAATGTTCTTACGAATCTATGTTTTAGACGTTTTCTGGCACATGGGGAAAAGATCTGGTTCATCATTCGATTCGATATATTTCCCATATAATAAGGACTAGAGATCGCAAAATTTAGAATAATATTCGTGTATTGACAAAGAATTAGAGATCCAATTTAGAGCGTATTTGAAATTGTACTAAGGGAAAACGAATAGGTTTTCTAACAACGATCAAAACTTTTGGTTCATCATTTAAGAGCTTGATTTTAGTTTCGAAATTAACTGAAAATGGGTCTTCCAAGCTATCTAACAATCTCCTTAGTTAGAGTGAAAACTACGTCATGCAGTGCAGTCTCATCCTTTTACGATTCATTTATTTTCGTTAAAATTGTAATGCAGAGTCCTGATGAATATTTTTATTTTCAAGTGAATAATAACCGACATGTCGATGAAGATAAAGTTTGCATTTATTTTTTTTAGAAGCAGACCATTTTCGATGAGTTTTGACAAAATTTCGGCTCGTGAGAAAGAAATGTGAAAGTTTGTAGATTGATTCTGGTTACAGATATTAGTTACTCTCTGCATTTATTCATTCGTCACCATCAACGTCATCGAATTTCCGCTTTTTCGATAAATTGCAACCTTATTGAACTTCATAGTCATTTTTACATGATTCTTTATCAAAGGCCATCTGCAGCTTGTCGACCAAATCGTGCTTGGTGAAAGGAATTTCCACAACCACTTGATCTTCATAAATTCGTAATGTATTCCCGACCACAGTAAGAGCATTTTTAGTGACAAGAAATGCACAAACAACGGCAGGTAGCCATGTTGCGTCGGTGGTATCCATATAAACTTTCAAAAGTCTTGTTAGATCTCTTTTCTGTTAAATAGTTTATTTGATAAGTAACGAG